AGTAATCAATATTTATTGCTCAACCTCTGAACTAATAGAAATGACTATGTCGAACAAAGTATTACTTATGAAGTAATTACACTGATCACCGAAAATAGTTCAATGTTCTGTACAAGAAAGCAGCAGTGGTGTCATAGACGCATGGGTGACATGGAAACTCAACCGTGTCACAAATCGATATATCGATTAGAAAAGCGATCAATGATCACCTTGGCTGAACAGTTGTGTTTCCAGTGACCCGCTTAATATAAGCACAGCTCTATGCTAGAGTTCTAAGCATACAAAAGCACGCAAACGTTAGCCGTTCAACGAGATGAAATCAATAAATCAATAAAAGCTTGATGAGCATGTGTAGATCACTAACTGTACATTGGCAACGTTTGTCATCACAAATTGTATTAAAGAGCATTATTACATCGATATTCAAGGCAACTCGTGATGAGGGGAGAGCTGGCGAGACGCGTGCGCGACAAGGGAGCGGTCGAGAGGAGATCATTGATTTTGTCGCCGATGTCGCGGGACCGCCCACTTGTCGCGCGCGCTCCGCTTACATATTGTGCATACACGATGCGCGCGTGTCTAGTACCGGTTTTCAATAGACCAAAGGCCTGAGTAAGTGCATAGGTGAAATTCAAGGGAAAACACATAGAATGCACATAGAAATGACTAAATTCTTTGACAAGATGTTTTGTACTTAGGTAACGTATGAGAAATGTGAGAGGTACTGCTCGAGCAGTGCGACGGCATCTGGCCGTCCCATTACTCGCAACGTTTGTAACAAGTCATGAGCGGCTCGTAACGATCCGCATTCCCTGGCTTCCCACAGATCGAGCAGTAAAGTCGTGGGAGAACAGCCAGGACGAGTGGCGAAGTACTGAAACAACCAATCGATAGCGCACGGTCCTACAGAAGATACCTGTCTGAGTGGTGCACAGCTTACCTGGATGTATCTGTCAGTGTGAAGCTTCTTGGCCAGACCTCGCCAGTCACGGTCTGGATCCGTAGGAGGGTCGAGTAGTTGGGATAACTCGTCCTTTACTTCGACAGGAAGGTTGAAGTCCGTCGTCACGACACGATCTTCTTCTGCTGGTGGTTTGTCGTACTAAAACAAAACTGTAGCTCTTCGAAAGGAGTTTACTGAATCCTTCACGAGTTTCCAGAAGTCCTGGCCCTACAGGAGAATTTTGCCTTGGGATATGGTTGACAATTCGGCAGGCATTCTCAACGTGGACACTGCTGGCCGACGCGAAAAGCAGCCAGGGTCCAGCCCCAGGCGGTGACTTGTCGGGAATCCGACCCAACGTTGCCTTCATAGCAGGCGCACTTACTCCTCTTTGGGTGTAGGACTTTCTTTAAAAGATCTCACTTCACACCTATCATGCCTCGGGGAGACTCGCCTGCGGTGTTGCCTGACTTAATTGCTCTCTCACTAGCTCCTGACCTTTCCTCTACTTGACGATTACATCATGATGAGTGATGATTTACTGCTAATTTTTCAGCAACTTTAATAGAACTAAGGACTACAATTGAAAAATTTGAATCACATGAAACAATCAAAGATGAAAAGCATGCTAAAATGAATTAAAATGAAGCACATAAATTAGACTTAGATGGTAGTGTTAGTAACAAATCTAGACATTTTTTCCGACAATGTTTTCCGCCTCCGTTTTGAGATGCTTCCATTCGAGACATTACAAGCATCAAAGTTCAAAAAGCGAAACCGGTGCACAAAAGGGGAAGGGAGTGGTGTACTGCCGGAGACATCATGGAAAATCAGAGAATTGGTGGGAACGGAATAAAGGGAGGAGTTGTGTACGTCTGCATTTCAGTTGTAAGTGGTTAAATGTGTTTTGACATTTTAAATTTATGAAAACATCTTTTTTTTTTTTCTGACATTTCCTACGTTTACTTTTATTTTTTCCTTCTACTTTCCATGTTCAGTTTGGCTCAGTCGTGTCTGTAGACGAGAGGTCAGGAGTTAGTGAGAGAGCAATTAAGTCAGGCAACACCGCAGGCGAGTCTCCCCAAGAGGCATGATAGGTGTGAAGTGAGATCTTTTAAGAACACCACACACCCCTCCTCTTTTAAGATGTAAATAGAAGGGGCGTCAAGGGAAGGTAGATCGGTAGAATTAGCACCGCCCATAGCACCAGCGTGGAATGGCCATAAGTCTTCGAAAAACCGGCTAGCATATCCATTTTTTTCCCAAAATACGGGCCAAATCCCGTGGCAGCAATGCTCAAGCAGATTTTTTATGTTCAAAATAGTTGTACCACCAGGTCGGGGCTCTTGCAAGGTCACAATGCTCAAAAGAACTTCTAAACTATTTCAAAATAGCCGTCACAACACATTCAAAATCCCTATTGAAGTGTGGAATCCAATCCCTCCATTGCAGTCATACTGTGGGGAGTGCTAGGAATCCGCAATGGGGAGGGGTCGTATTCGGGGCATCATGGTAGAGGTCGTTCACGGTTCACGTGAGAGGATCCACATCAATCTGAGAGTGGAAATTTGAACTTCGCCTGTTTACATTCGCTAAAGGAGCTCCCAAACGTTTGATTTGGCGCTGTTTATCGACGGGGGGCATTTTGTATTATAATTGCTTCCCTGGTTCCGGTTTACAAATCTCACTCTGGTAAAACTTGTGAACGCTTGTGAAGCTGGAGCAAGATCGTCTAGCCACCATCCTAAAACGTGTCAACTCGAAAAAAGGTACCTAGATGGGTTGGCAAATCTATGAAAAGCAGGATGCCCCCGTAGATAAACAGCGCCTTGTGATTTCTCCAGCAATGCGCACTTCTTCTAATGCGACTGATACCTAGGCAGGCCAGTGAGGGAGGAGCAGTGATTGTGAGTCTCCGCCCATGTAATCATCGCAGAATCAGCTTTTCGTTCGTTGTTTGGTGAAGGTAGTTGAGAGAACAAGTAAAAACTTACGATGTTGTTTTCGAACCGTACTTGCAATACGTGTCGCTCGGCGTTGTTCGTCTTCTGATAGATGACAATACGAGCCATGAAGTCGTCCACCGACCGCTTCATGTCGCTACATACAGTAATCGAACAGTGCAGACCATTTTGACTGCACCATTGATGATGAGTGTCCGGAATTTCCTGGAAATATCGACTATAGCATGAAATTTACACGATTATCAAAGGGCTCGCAGTCAAATATGTCCTACAAGTAGTGCTATAAGTTCTTGTGACGTTTTCGATGTCACGACAAGCAAAAAGTAGGGCGAAACGGTCTATTACAGTCCTCATCATTACGGACTGTCGGGGCGGCACAGCCGCGCTGCACTGTGACGCGACAGCGGCTGCGGCTCGGTGACGGTGAATCAGCTGATTTCGATGGAATTCGGCTGCAAATTCCCACTTTTTCAGCTCTTCAAGCTTCTAAAGTGGAAGGTGAGTTATTCTGAACAATTTTGAATTGTACTGGCTCTGATTTCCTTATTTTTATGTCGATTATTATGCTCTTTTCCTTGTATTTTGCCTTATTTCAGGCATTTATTCAAATGGCTTACATTCTTTCAGATTCATTCAGAGTCAGTACAATTTAAAATTGTTCAAAATAACTCACCTTCCACTTTCGAAGCTTGAAGAGCTGAAAAAGTGGGAATTTGCAGCCGAATTCCATGGAAATCAGCTGATTCGCCGTCACCGAGCCGCAGCCGCTGTCGCGTCACAGTGCAGCGCGGCTGTGCCGCCCCGACAGTCCGTAATGATGAGGACTGTACCATGGGTTTTATCGATCCCTGTTCAAAAACCTGCCCTGGGATAATGGCACACAATTTGCAAGTCGTTTTAGTTAATTTAAAGGTGAAATTCAGTCCAAGAATCAAAGGAAGGGCACCTGAAGGCGCTTTTCATAGCCAACCGGGCCTCCAGTGCTTGGGAGCGCGTCTCTTATAGATTATAGGTGGTAGAGCAATTCCCTCATACTCGGTAGCGCAAATGCCCCGGTTCCTCCATGCTTGGGAGCGCGATTCCCCATTCCCTGCGATTCTCCCAATGCTTGGATGCCAGAAAGGTAAAGAACTTCTGCCATACTAAATCTATGAAGGAACTTTGAGACGGAAATTTTCCGGGGATCTGAGCGGCTGCACCCACCTACGATCTCTCATTACCCCTTTTCACCCTATCCCACCCCTCCCCCCTCCCCCCTTTCAAGCGTTCAAGCGACAACTTGTAGAGGCGAAGCGATGAAGAAATCATACTAGTGTGGACTAATTGACTCTAGCAGTGTAATTCGAGTGATTCGCTTAATGTCCGCCGCCGCTGGCTACCGCATGGTTGCCTGCTGGCGGCGTTCTTAATCGGATTTCAGGATTTCATGGAACGGATATGATTTGACTTTGATCCATTTCGTGATGAGTTCCGAAGGGTGTAATGGAGTAAAACCGAATGACGGGCACAGAAATCAGCACAGAGGAGGTTATGGTAGCGAAGTTAGCTGTAAAGCAATAGAACAGCCCAGTTGGTGCCTCCTAGTTAATGCCGTCAAAGCTTTCAACCCCGCCATAATACCCTTATTACCTACTTGCTTAGGGCCAATCACTTCTGCCTCTCAGGGACACGTTTAAGAGAGTCTGCCCCAGAGAAATGGCCGTGTCAGGTAGACTTCTTTCCCTAACCAGAAACTACAATCTAAAGGGGAAGGAGGCGGTTCAATAGGCGAAGAGGGATATCAAAGACATCTTCGGTTAACCATGAGACTAAGCGACAACCGATCACTCCACGCGAACGGGGGAATTGTTATCACCGGCCAAGCCCACACCCCCCCTTTTAGGATTACATTAGTCCAAAAACCCGTCTTCTTAGGCAGCTACTAATTCTGGCTTGCCCAAAGTTCATTAACCTGTACCCCAAGGTTATTAGCGTAGGGCTTATAGAATGCTTCATAAAAGTACAAATCAATAAATTGAAGCGCTCTGTAGATCTCTTTGGATTTTCTAGACTTGAAACGAAAACAGAGAATGAAAGTGGAGGGAAAAGGGCACAAAGAAGAGGTCACCGCAAAGAAATATTTGTTCTGATCCTCAAGAACAAAAAAAAAAAAACATAAATCTTACCACGAGCGCTGATCCACGTGTGGAGAAGCCTTCGGAGACATCCTCGACACAGAAACAGAGATCACCTTTCTCGTTTAGCAAAAAGTGCTCGGATTCCGCAAGTAACCTGAAAAATCTAGCTAAATGACTTCACCTGACCTCACAACACAGTTTCACTTTGTTCCACGAGCAACTAGTTTAGAGAATCTCCAGGTTTGTACTTGACCTGGTAAAAGTCAAATATGCAACGCTTACCGTCCATGCTGTTCCTGCTTCGCAACGCTTTCCATGGCGGCTCCAGTCTCCGGCACACAGTAGACCCGCAGATCAAAGCTGGACGTTCGAGGTCGCTCCGATGGTCCGTAGGCGGCCAGGTGAACTCGTTTGCATGCAGCGGCTGAGGCTCGTCGTGGTCGACCGGCCAACATTACCCTGAACAATGACTCTGGGAAACATTTTTCAGCTCCCAAAGTTAGCGCGTTCATAAAGATTATGGCCTCCCAAGCCATATCAGGATTATATGTTCGCAAAAATAAAATTTGTCGTACTCATGGAATACCCGGGTAGATCTGAGTCAATTAAAGAGAGTGCCGTACGGCATAGGAGGGGCCTTCTGCACATTCACTTACTCTTTTGAAGAGGTTTGTTACACTTCGCTGAGATCCGTGCGAAATGATAAGAGCGAATCATTTTGTTTACAGGATTTTACAGGTCCTGCCATTTGCTGCCCCCACAAAGCCAAGATATGCCGAAGAAGTCCGTGATATTGCAAGACATTGCCTGCGGTCACCCGAAAAACCACCCTTAGGCTAAACGGGCACCGCAAGAGCGATAAATCGCAAGCTTGCTTGGTTTGCTCTGTCAAATGTTGTCGCGTAGGTAAAAATTGTCGACATAGTTTTCGAAATCGCCTTTCCAGAAAATTTCCGCTTGGGGCCAAATAATCCGAAAAAGAGGAATCACCCTCAGAAAAGGCCCGTGTTCCTACCTGGCAAAGTTGTCCAGCATCACGTGACACCAACCCATTCCACCATCACTCCGTCCCGGCTTCTCCATGTGGACGTACATCGTCGAGTTCAGATTTTCCTCACCAACCGTCAGCACTCGCTGCCACCCGAACCCTGAATAAGGACCCATACTAGAAGAAAATTACCTAAAAAACCTCAAAATGTGGCGTACCTTCGTCCGCATACAGGATAAAGGACCAGTTATCACGTGGGAACACCGAGGCGCAGTGTCGAATCGAAAGAATCAAAGGCTTCAACAGTAGCCGAGCCGGACTAGCCGGCTCACCCTCACATTCACCGAGCACCACTACTGATGACAGCGCTGATTCTCCAGCTGAAAATCGATTATTGATTGGTAAACTGGACTTTTCGTGCAAGGAATAAACGTACGCTGTAGTTTAGGACGGTCGATAATTTGATCGGAAACCGCCAGATAGATCATTCTGTCCGAGTTCAATGCGTTTTCCGGTATTAACAACGACGCACCACATTTACGAAGCTGAAACATTCGATTTATCGATCGATATCGATTGTGATAGAATTCATCAAAGCACCTGTAATCGTGCGCCGCTCTGATCGACTTGTGCGGCTAGTACTGCTTGTGAAGATTCGAGACAGCCAACGGCTTTCTCATCCAGATAGTCATAAAGAGTGGCGTAATTCTCGTCGTCTGAATAGTTAGAACTCGTCCGAACGAGTGTCCGTTTGCCGCCTGAGGACGAGTTTGACGAGCATTCAGTGATTAGAGCTGCACGTGAACCTGCGACATTGTGTTTTAGAAAAGAGAAGGTCAATCCATTATCAACTTCAGCAGATCCAGTCTTCACTCTCAGGGGTTAATAATAAGTTGAACAGGACCAGCCATAGTCCGAGCTCCTCATTAGTCAAAAAGGGCCAAAAAGTTAGTCTGAACCTATGACATTCGCCGCAGTTGTCATTTCAAGTCAGATAGCGCAGTCCACGCTGATCTTATCGACGGGGGTCAGGCTCACCATCGCGTGTTCTCTACAGTCACGCTGCTCCCTTCTGAGATAGTCAAGGGGAGGGCCGTGAGGGTGATAAGGCACAATGGCACGTCCGTCTCCGCCCATACAATTAGTTTGGAATATGCCTCCGGACGGATGGACCTGCCACACACTAAACAGTACCCCTCGATAACGCAACACCTGCGTGACGGCACTGTTCGTAGCTCGTTCGCGCAACTGTGCTACCCCCCACCCGCCTCCCCCCCCCCCCCCCCCCCCCCCCCCCCCTCTCCCCTTCCCGCCCTTTCCCAGTGTGCAGGATCGACAACCGCGCGATCGCCTGGGAGATGGTGCTATAGCCTCAATCGCCAACTATGAACCCTGTCTAACGTAAGCAGAGCAGAGGTGATGCAGTCTTGTTCACTGCAAATTTTGGGACGTATTACGGGGCCGGACCTGGCGCGATGCTTACCCATTCTTTAATAATTGCTGAAGCGAGGAAGCGATGGAGCTGGTGAAAAACGTGCACAATCCAGCTCTCCTGACACGCCCCAGCATCTGTAGCGAACAGTACTATATACTACACACCTGTAAGAGCTGCTTAGGCTATTGAAGGCAATGACTTGAGAGCATTCGCCGTTTTTATGAATTCAAGGCTCATACTAGGGGGTGAGTATAGCTCCGAGCATGAAAGTTACCGTACCAGCGTTCCGGTTCGCAGAATAGCCACTGTATCCGCTTTTCCCTGATCGTAATGTCATTGATGGATGCAATGGTGACGGAGAACATGTGCTTCCAAGAGTGAAGAACTGCGAACCGACTGGTGGCGGCGGCTGAAAGTTTCCATTCGAGTTCGAGTCAGTGGTTATAGCATTTAAATGGGACAATCTCAATGAGAACGAAATTTGGAAAGCCACCGCTGACCTTTATACATTCGTCGGCTAACAGGGCTTTTTGTTGTTGTTCGAGGAGGACGCGTCGGACATGTGAAAGTTACATAATAAAAAGTTAGGAAAAATCTTTTTCACATAAATGAGCAGTTTTTGAAGACTGCCAAGACGCCGTGCCTCATGGTGTTTCTCAAACTGACGCCTATTTTCGTGTGGCGTTCACGTGTGACCCTTTTCTATACAAGGCTAATGTGACACACATGCAGTGCACGAGGTCAGGATGTGTTAAAAGATGGATAATTCAAAATTTCCTCCGGTTCACTCCCGCTCGGTCTTCTTAACTTTTCGAACTCCAACCTACCCACTAGCCACGACTTGATTCAGTGTTGCAATCTTTTCAAATCAAAAAACTTTCAGACAGTAGCGAGCGATGCCACGACGGATACCACGACGTGCTTCAGATCGCCAGTCCAACGACCCCCCACCACCAAAATGGGACCCCTCAAACATGGCTATTGCGGCGAGGTGACTCAACTCGCGGCTATTCTTCATTGTCGGTCCCTCGACGTCAAATTAAATCCAGGATGGCGTCCACCGAGGGAATTCGTCGCCAACGCCGCCACTTGGATTATGCCGATTCCGGAACTTATGGTGGCTTTCGAAATTTGCATAAGCGGTGCTGCCATCGATACTTGGCCACAAACAACAGCTCTATGACCGAACCCGTCAAAAATACTGCCCCGAATTACCCAGCTTCGAGGGCAACTTTACTCGGCCGGACAAAAATAGGGCCAAAGGTTGTTGTAATAACACTGCGGTCCACAAGGTTTCAACCTACCTCCACTTTCTGCGTAGTAGATGTTCTTCACGCTGCCCTTTCTTGCCACGATTCCTCTTGCAAAGAAGGGCAGTACACAGGGCCATAATGATGGCCAGCAGGACAAGAACACAAGCCAATCCAGCGTAGACAGTCGCATCGTTGGGCAGTCGAGGTTGCGGCGCCGAGGATGGAACACAGTAGCTGAAAGAACACGTTTGAGCGTCCATAGCCTGATTGGGGCTAAAGAATGAGCCGATCGCATAGTAAAAAGAATCTTCCGTGTTGCTAGTAAGGCGGACGGGCAGCAGCTATCATCCTGCTTTGCACTCGCCTGGCCATCGTTTTCGACGCCTTGGAAAGATAGGGAAGCATGTGCACAGGCCCGACTCCGCCATACACTAGGCGTGGAATGTGCGTTTAAGAAAACTCACTCGCTACTACATGGTACAGTTTCCAGTTCACGTCCTACACATGGCCGACCGCCATTGATTGGAGGTGGCGATGTGCAGGTCCTGGTACGAAATCGGTGACAGGTGGGTGAACAAGGTGACCAATCTGACCACGGTGACCATCGACCATCCAAACGACACGTGAGGTTGCACGAGCGGAATCTAAACAGTCGTTTGATTTAAAGTGACAAACTGTTCAGCCAAGGTGATCATTGATCGCTTTCTAATCGATATATCGATTTGTGACACGGTTGAGTTTCCATGTCACCCATGCGTCTATGACACCACTGCTGCTTTCTTGTACAGAACATTGAACTATTTTCGGTGATCAGTGTAATTACTTCATAAGTAATACTTTGTTCGACATAGTCATTTCTATTAGTTCAGAGGTTGAGCAATAAATATTGATTACTATTAATGTGTGGACGAGTTGTCGCTGCCCAGATGGGACGAGTTTCCCCATAAGCGGTTTCTGAGGCTGGGCTTTTGATGGGTCGTATTATCTGTGATAGATGGACCATTGCAGATTTTAACAATGAAAACTGGTTTCTTTCTATTTGTAGACGGGTTTTCATAGGTGGGCTTTCTCACACCTCCTGAAAGGGAGTTTTCCAGGAGCTATCTTAAGCATAGAATTAGACTGGTGCGAGGGATAAGCAACAAATATCTGATTACTGCTCAGGTGTGGACGAGTTGTCATGTTCTAGAAAGGGCCAGTTTGTCATAAAAGGCTCTAAAAGAGGTTTTGTGAGCTGTTTTGACCATGGAAGATGAACAATATAGTTCAGAAGTTGGTATAAAAGGCTGATGGCTGTTCCCCTGTGAAACTGGTTTGGCCCGAGAGTAGCAAGGTCCTCTCGAAGTGAAAAGCGAAACTTGAGCTCCAATGGGCGAGTTAAGTAGGCCTTTGGCTAGGCTGACCAATAAATATTGGATACTGGCCGAGTTGTCGCTGCTCAAGAAAGACGAGTTTTTGCACAAGCACTTTCTAAAACAGGGTTTTTTATGTATTTGCTGTGAGAATTCGAGTAGTGCAAAGCTTAACAATCACATTTGGTTTCCATTTGTTTGTAGACAGGTTCCTATAGTCTGGAAAGGGCGGGCTTTTCCACAAATGGTGTCTGAAACGGGTTTTCGACCAGCCGTTTTGGGCATTATCGATAGAACAACATTCTAGCAACAAGGGTTTGATTTCTAGTCAAGTTTGGACGAGTTTTCATGGCTCAGAGTGGGCAAGTTCGTCACAGACACAGACTATCTTCGAGAAGGTTCTATGAGCTATTTCAACGAGAGAAGATGGACTTCTACAGTCTTGTTCGCTGCTGATGATGGGGCCTGTCAGGGGTGAGGGTTTGGCGCGGTGCCAGCCCGTTCTCCAGCGATTGTTGAAGCCGGAAAGCGACAATAATTGGAGGAAAACGGGCTGGTGCAGCGTCAAACCAAGCCCATACCTCTGATACGCTCCAGCATTTGCAGCTAACAATACAGTATAGTGCAGAAATTGAACATCCAAGACTAATGCTATTCTCTCGTAGACTAATTGTTACAGTCCAACAAGAGGGATTTTTTTCTAGAATTTAAACGGATACCCATCAGCTATATTGAGCGCGGTGAATGAACCAGTGAAAAAGTTGAGTAGACCATCGATTCCTGTTTATCTGTGGACGAGTTGCTACAGGCCCCAAAAGACGGGTTTTCCATGAACGGTCTCTGAGACGGGGTTTTTCACGAGCTGTATTAGCAGTGGCAAATGACCTAGTGTAGATATTGAACAATAAATACCCCTTGCTATTTATGTATGGACGAGTTGTCGCCCGATCGTGAAGGACGAGCTCTTCCTCTGACGGAAGCAGGCTTTTTTATGAGCTGTTTCGACGGTGATAGATGGGACGGGAATTTCCTGTATGTTCGTGGGCTATTTGAGGTAATTAGTGGCAATTAATCGTTCGTAATTAAAACTGCCCAAGTCGAAAAGGCGCCGGCGACAGTGATTGGTCGTGTTGCGCAATTGGCGAGGACATCGGGAGGAAGTGGGTTGCTACACAAAGGATTTCAGGAAATGCCCTATTGATTCGAGGTCATCGGGTATGAGAATAAGGGTCTGGGTAGGCTAAAAGTGTTGTGGAGGGACGTTCTTTGGGGAGGGATGTCGCACCAAGGTTGGACGGGCAGGGTACAACATCGTTATGTAAATGGTGGTGTAAGTACGACTCACTCCCCCTCCCCACCTGAGAGAGGGTCTCGGTACGACCCCCCCCCTTTTCCCAACACCTACCTACCACTTTCCTACAAGTTCCCAGCTTCCTACCAGTTTTTCCAAAATTTCCCACATTTTCCAGTTTTTCACCCAAAAATTTTCCGTCGAACAGAGGGAGAAGGCAGGGGGTAACCCCGAGTACGAACTAAACATCCGCTCTGGCCAAGAACAACTGGTAATCGTCCCACAGGATCCGAGTGAAAAGCCTCAGAAACCAATTGGTTGGTAGTTTAATTCCAATAGCGCTTTCCACCTCCATACCCTAAGCCCAGAGAGCAAAATCGTCTTCACAAAATTTTTTTAACCCGACTAGCAGATACTGACGCCAACGTTTACCTGGGGTTGGCAACAGCGCCTGCAACGTAGGCTCAAGGCGTGTTAGGGCCAAGCAGATTTTTGTTCGTTCAGAGGTTCTATGTGTTAAATGTCTCTGCGATCAAAATGGTGCCCAGAGAGGGGGGCCGACTTTCGACGAATGTGGCTTGAAGTGGGTCAGTGAAAATGAAATAGTGCCTCAGTTCGAAACAGGGTACACCATAGTAGGGAGAGTCTCATCAGGAAGGTTGACCGTAGTTATCCCTTGAGGGTCGTATTTGATCGGTAGGGCTTGACACAAAGTTCTTCCGAGTCGAAAGAGAGATTTTTAGTTTTCGACGTTTTTGGGCATTTGCCTCCCCAAGTGTTTGCATGGG